AATTTTCAACACACGGAATTTTCAAACTCAATTCGACCACCGAGAAATGTTCAAATAAGGAGTCTTAATAAAACAAAATTCACAACGATCATTCACCCCGTCTAGGCCACAAAACTGGCACCAACTACTAATGAAATAGAAAACAGTATGTTTGCAGCAGGCTGCTTTAGTTCGACCTGAACAATGATGACCTGCATAATAATCTATGYCAAAAWGTTTGAAGATACCTTGTCAAATAAAAGATGTAGTTAATTTTGTTCGAATAGTTTGTACGGCAACTATATGTAATAGTGGCCTGATATCAGGGGTTGCGAGAAATTAGCTGCTTCTTTGGGAAAGAAAGACGTGTGCGAAATTCGAAATCAAAAAACGTGATAAAAACTCAAGGAAACACTGAACGCTGATTATTTATATAAAGGTATGTGTATATTTTGTAGTAGCTCTGGAGTTGATTCTAATAAATTAACTAATTAAAAGATCAAAGAACAGCTTTTAGTAAGCCTTTTACTATATAGCTGGCAAACTTCTACACGTTTCAGCATATGAGCAGTATTTCGTATTATGTATATGCACCTTACACATACCCAGTACTTAAAAGATTGAATAGCAACAGTATTCATTTAGTGCTGGTGTCACCTGACAGCAGCCAGAAACTACTAATGTCGCTAATATTTAATGCATATACTACCAGACATACATACCTCTGAACATAAGCATATTTGTGTGCGCGTGCGTGTGTGTRGCGCTTTAGTTTCATTTACATCCAAAATTACCGGAAACGTTAATTTGTGCACGTGCGTCTGCTATAAAAATGGGCAAGCAAACATACCTACACATAATTATGTAAGTATGTAAGTTTGTGTATGTGTGCAKTGGTGCGTGCGTGGCAATCTGCGAACACTACTATTTAATGTACCATGTTATATTTTGTATATATATGTGCATATGTAGGTGTGCGCCTTCGCTTAACTACGAGCGTCGTACCCACTTCCTGTTGCCGGYGCTGCGGCAAAGTTAATAAACGCACACAAATCCAAAACAACGCCAACTTGCCACTTGCTACCACTACTACCATAGCAGTTACAATTTAATGTCTGAATGTCTGCATGTGCTCGCCATAGTTTATGGTTATATGAGCGTGTATGAAAAGCGCATGGGGATGTTAGCGAGCAGCTTAAAGAAAATTTATAGAAGAAATATKTACTTGTATATCCTTTGAAGGATTTTGTTTCTACGCCAGCAGTTAACCAAAACGAATAGTGCTAATTATTTCGGCGAGTGACTTGCTTCGTTTTTGTTTTTTATGAAGCTAGAAAGATACGCYTTGGGGAGTATATCTAAGAAATCACTGCTTAAATGTTAGCTATATGGGATTTATTGCTTTACACTAAAGGGTTAGGACGGTCTAAAACTTAAAAAAAAAATGTCAAACTTATTTTGACCGAAAAGAAGAACCTCCTATTCGACACCAACAGAGGTAGGAGGAATGAGACTTCCTATCGTGTGACTTCTTCTAACTATGACTGGAGAAAATAATAATAATCCAATAATCAAACCACCACTAGTCAAATTAWTTCCTACAGGGTGCATGTTTGGTATTGTAAACTTGCGACTTTTGCATATCACCAACTTTCTTTGCCGTAYCCATTTGCATAGCTGTACGCGTGCATACAGGTACTAATTACATGCAAATGTAGGCACGTACCCAAGCACACAYACCTGCCTACACAGACATTTCAAAGTGCAACTTCTTGCATAAAAGTACGTAAACTGTGTGCGTCCCCTTTGCAGTTGCAGAAACTGCTGGAGTTGTAATTGAATGGCGAAATAGACGAAGAAATAAGCGAAACAATAAATTGTAGTTTCACGCATGTTGCACGCGTATACTCATACTCACACAAAGCTGTGTATACATAAAGAAATGTACGGCGATATGCTTTATGCAGCAAAATTCCGAATTCACTCAAATGAATTCACGCAATTTTTGCATACGGTATCCTTATGCAGAACTAATTGTTGGCTGTGTGTGTGTTTGTGAGTTATGGAAGCAACAATCGAACGTGGCAGGCATATATACATGCAACATACCTTCATGCACCTAGCGACAGCAATCCCTTATTAATATGCCACATACATACAAGGCTGTATACATACTTACTAACTTTTAAATACATGTAAATGTTTGAGTATTCCTCTTGCCGCATGTTGTTGCAAGTAGTTACGCTTGTATATCAAACTGWAACTTAGTGTGTGTTTATTTAAATGAATTTATAACTTCATATTGTTGCAATATGAGGTATGTATATACATACATTTTCCTAAAGAAGTTTTGGTACTGGTTTTTCATTTWCAAAATATATTGTATAGTATGTGTGGTTGTCTCGTATGTGCAACTTTATTTGCAACAATGTAGTAACCAATCAAGTTGGCAAGGAAGGAAGGAAGGACTTTTCACTTGCTTTGCACAACAATAAATGGGAAATGCGGAGCACTATTTTAACTTAATT